ACATTTGGTAACAAAGGGCGTTTTGAGCATGTCAACAAGCAAGCAGCGTTAGAAGCTTTCGTGAAATGTCTTCCCAAGTCAGCTGCTCCCACTGGCACACCTGCCTGCCTTTGCCCATGGTTCCGGGCCTGGGCTCCTGTGTGGATAATAAAAGGGAGTGGGTGGGGGAACTCCTAGTTTCTAATCCAGGGGTGCTGTGTGCCTTCAAAATAGTCCTCATATTAGCTGTGGGCCCCACGCGCCCATGGCTGCCTGGTCTCGGGGTGGATGGCTCTGCACACTGAGACAATGGCGACCTGGTCCCCTGGAGCTGGCGGTCCTGAGGAGTGCCTCCTCTGGATGCCACAAGGTGCCCAGGAGCCTGGGCTCTCAGGCTTGGCATCCCCAGCAGTGGTGCTGCCCTCTGTACCCTCTCAGGTCCATGCCACCACAGCTTCTGCTCGGGGGAATAGAACCCATGAAGTTAGGGTCTCTTGGATGGCCACAGGGAAGGACAGGTTTCCTAGCTAGCTGGCGCCAGTCAGCTCCTTATTGGGCATCATGGGATGGCACACGTGACACCACCCTTGTCAGATGTTGGCTTCAGGTTCTAATGTCCCAGGTAAGTGGTAACCCCTGGTCCGTGCTCGTCATGTGTAGGTGCTTGGTTATCAAGTTTGCTCAGGATTCTGAGTGGGCTGGGTCACAGGCTGGCCCTGGCGGCTGCGGGCACACATGACTTCTCCCAGCTCAGCCTCCTCACTGCGACGCGGGGTTAACAGTAATGTTCCCTGAGGTGGGGAGAGACCAGGTATCCTCCCAGCCTTTGGGGACAGTTCCGAGGCAGCTTCTCCCTGTCCCCCCGCACAGACTTGGCTCAGCAAAGAGGGGGCTGCTTCCCTTCCCAGCCTCACCTGAGCTTCTTCACATCACCTCCCAGACACACTGCTGTGCCCACGACCTTCTCTCAGCCTCTGTTTTGGCAGAACTAAAATAGAGACTAGCAAATTTCAGCAGTGCCTGCACACCAGCTGGCGTGGGCCTGCCTGCTGCTGGGACCACGGCGTCTCTTCAAAGGCAGAAAACAGTTTCTGCCAAGTCGTTGGGGACTCATGGCAATCCCATGTGTGCCCGAGAAGAACTGGGCTCCACAGTGTTCCTGGAGGTCCATCTCCCACAAGCAGCTCCCCAGAGCTCTCTCCTGAGGTGCCTCTGGGTAGACTTGAACCGGCCACCCTGTGGTTAGCAGTTGAGGGTTAACTGCAGCACCCAGGGAGAGGGCGCCTTATTTTTTTGCAGGTCAGGAAGGCTGGCTGTGCCTGCAGAGAGCAGAGCACAAGGCCACTGTGGTCTCCGAGCTGACCCCGCCTCTCCTGCCCAGGGGACATCAGGATGGACCACAAATCTTGTGCATGAACGAATGGCTGACCCAGAGGAGGGAAGGGGCTGTCTGAAGACAACCGAGAGACAGAGACATTGATTTTGGTCGATTTTGGTCTCGCCCTGGTAGAAGTACCTAGAACTTTGCAATAGCACCTTCATCTGCACCTCCCTGCCCCCTCCTCCCCCGTATTGCCGAGCTCACTGAGGACCCAGAAGTCAGCCCGCCTCTTAGGAGTCACCTGACTTTGGGAACACTTGCTTTCGGCCAAGGGCTGTGCTCTGTGCTGTCCTTAGAACAGGACAAGCCCAGGCCATGCTGGGCCTGCCATACTCCTCTCCCTACTGACATCTGCAGGGCAGTACTTGGACTAACTGCCTTTGCTTAGGCTTTTCATGTCCCCAGCGAAGTCCTCCAGGCTCTCTCCTAGGTGTGTGCATGCATGGGTGTGTGCATGCATGTGTGCATGTTTCTGTGTGCATGCAAGTGTATATGCATGTGTGTGCACACATTGGCACAAGTATGTGTGTGCATGCATGTGCTTGTGCATGCACATGTGCACAAGGGTATCCATGTGTGCACACATGCATGTGCATGCATGCGTGTGTGTGCACGTGCGTGGGTGTGTGCATGCTTCTGTGTGCATGCAAGTGTATATGCATGTGCGTGCACACATGGACACAAGTATGTGTGTGTGTGCATGTGCATGTTTTTGTGCGCGCACATGTGCACGAGGGTATCCATGTGTGCACATGTGTGTGTGTGTGTGCACGTGCATATGTGTGTGTGTGTGTGTGTAGGGAGGTGTGGTGACCAGGGAAACTGTGATTACTGTCTCTCGTGGTGCCTCGAGTCGGCATCCTGGGGTGCTATCAGGACCCTCTGTGCTCCTGGGCGGCTCTCTCCTGAAGTGGCTCCATAACAAGAGGCCGACGAGCTTAGCGCTGGGCTGGGGCTGCTGCACTAGAGGGAGGCAGATCCTGTCGGACTGGAATTTCCTTGGAAAACTTCAAGTATGCAGTGAAGCATTTTTTCAGTTTCTGGGGGGTTGCTACTGTGAGCTGCTTGCATAAAGAAGGAAAAAGTCATATTTTATTAACTAAGGGGAATTATATTTATCACCGTAGACCAGAATAGAACAGTGGCCTGCGTTGGCAGTTCCGTTTGCTACTTTTAAGGAATCCAGTTTTGTCACGCAGCCCAGATGGAGGGCTGATCCGATTCTGCTCCTCGGATTTCTCCGTCGCTCTTTCCCCTTTATTTTCTCCTTTCATCTCTACAGACCATATGTTGCCTTCAGAGAGGAAGAGGCTGGAAAGGGGGTATGGAGTCAGCTTCCTGGCTCTGCAGGTGACCTTGGGCGCGTCTTCTCCCCTCTGAGCCTCAGTCTCCCATCTGTAAGATGGTGTCCACACGCCCCCTGCGCTCACACATTAGCGTCGTTGTGGGCTGCCTGTGCATTACGAGTCATGCTAGCTGCTGTTCTTCCAGTAACTGGCCTAGCGCTTGAAACGGGGGCTCAAGAACATTAGCGAGAAAGCAGGGGCTGCCGTTTGCTCAGGGCCCAGGGCAGCCCAGCCCTGTCCTCAGAGCTCCACATTCTACACCTTTCTCCGTCTTCACCGCGGCCACTGAGGCAGGTGCTCTTGGGTCCCTCTAAGCGGGAGGGCCCACCGTCCATCCGCAGTCAGGCAGTGGCAGAGCCAGGCTCGAGGGAATGCCTGCCTCGCCCTGGGCGCTCCCTGCTGTCTCTGGGTTCTGTTACCACTCCCACCAGGGTTTCTGTTCCCCACATGTTGGTCCCTTGGGGACTCAGACTCTCAGGGGTAGCAGGAAACTTGCCTGACATCCGGGTCTTCACTGGATGCATAGAGCCGAGGCGGGACAGTGGTCTCCGTCGGCGTGGGTCTGGCAGGCAGATGCTTCAGCGGGGCTGTGCTGGTTAGTATCACGGTGTGTTTGTAGGACAGGTGCTGCAGACAGGTGTCCCGGCAGCGAACAGACTTGTGATGAATGACGACTTCTGGGCAACGGCATCCTTTCCCCACTTGGGCTTTTTCCTCCCCTGATTTGCAAACCGTCTCCTCCTTCTGCTAAATTAGACTGTGAGCCATCAGAGGTCGTGTGACCCGTTTTGCAGAAAAGCCAGGAGGCGCTCTCAGAGAGCCATCTTTGTTAAGGATTGAATTGTCTCCCCCCAAAAAAGTCTCCTAAATCCTAACCTCTATGCCAGTAGAGAAGGAGCTCTGGTGGCACAGTGCCTAAAGCATTTGCCTTCTAACCAGAGGGTTGGTGGTTCAAACCCACCAGCCGCTCCACAGAAAGAAGATGGGACAGTCTGCTCCCATGAACATTTACTGCCTCAGAAACCCAGTGGGGGTCACTATGAGTCCAGTCGCCTCACTCATGGCAGTGAGTGTGCCTGTGAATGTGATCCCATTTGGGAACTGGAGTCGCTTTGTTATGTTAATGAGGCCAGGTGAGTGTAGGGTGTATCTCTGTCGCTCACATTTGAGCTATGAAAGAGCAGGTTACCCACAGAAACCAGCAAGCACTGATGAGGCAAGAGAGACGCCATGCCACGTGAACATCGCCAAGGAACCAACAGACAGAAGCAGGAAAGAGAGTGGGACCGTCCCCAGAGAGAGCCTTCCCCTGGAGCCAGCACCCAGAATCCAGACTGCCAGCCTCCTAAGTGTGAGAGAATAAATGCCGATGCTTCTGGTCCAGCAGCTCTGAGAAGCTGAGGCAGAGGTGACTGGGGCCGTTCTTGCCCACGGCAGGCGGCGCCGTGCTGAGATGACATTGCGGCCAGAGCTGGCTGTCCCCAGGCCTCTGGATAACCTTCCTCCCCAGGCTTTGGCTTATTGGCTCCCTTGACCCTGAAGGAGACACTTAATTTTGCAATTTTCAGCTTGTCTCGAAAATTAAAAACACTCGCAGGAGGCATCCTGCAAATATGACTGAGAGAGGGATGTCCTTGTCTGTGCCCAGTAGTGTCCCACGTGTTTTTCTGCAGATCTAGGGCTTTCTGTCTTTTTCCAGTTGTGGTTTGGGAGAAAGTTGACAGAGCACATTCGTTTCCCGTTCAACAATTTGTACACATTTTGTTTTGTGACATTGGTTGCAATCCCCTCAATGTACAGCACCCTCCCCACTGCCTCCCTGGGTCCCCTGATTCCGCTCATCCTTCCTTCCTGCCCCTTCCGCCCTCTGAGCTTTGTTTTGGGGTGAATGCTGTCCTTTGATGCTCATGTAGGTGATGGTTCTGAGGAGCACATTCCTCGTGGGAGCCACTCACTTTGTAGGTCTCTGAGTCCCTGGGTAGGGCAAGAGGTTTGCAATCAGCTGCTCAACTAAAAGTTGGCTATTGGAACCCTCCCAGCTGCACTGCTGAAGAAAGACCTGGTGACCTGCTTCTCTGAAGATTACAGCCGAGGAAGTCCCACGGAGCACCGTTCTGCTCTTACATGTGGATCGCCATGTGTTGGAATGGGTTTGATGTGATTTGTTTTGTTTTTTCCTTTAAGTGCCCTTTGAATGGGGAAGCAGAGAGTGGAGACTGCTGATTCTCAGGTTCAAGATGGCTGAGTTCTCACCCTCGATGTACATGGAAGTAAAGGTGTCTCTCTCTTCACAGGTAAACACAGCAACAGAAAAGGCGCGAGAACCAAGAGCTTCAAGAAGGCTGCCAGTGATGGTCAGAGCACCCGCGCGGCCCAGGAGGATGTCAGAGAGAGTGAGTGGGCTCTTTCCGGGGGCCACCTGCCCCGACCTGGCGCACCTGTCCAGGGAGGCACGGTAGCACACACCCTGGCACTGCAGCCCATTACAGCTTCCCCAGCAAGGGGCTGCGGGGGGCCGCCTTTTTCCTAACCATCGCGTGGCTGACAACATTCACAGCAGTTCCCGTTTTTGCGGTCACATTGCTTGCAGAGTCTGAGGCCAGATTCCCTACGTGACTCGGCTGAAGCGGTTTCTGAATTTCCAGGAGTACTCGGCTGCCTTCCTGGCCCCCACTTCCTCCTCTCCAGAAAGGACATCCTTTCCTTTCTGTGGGGCCTCTGAGCTTTCCACTGCCTGGTGTGTGCTATCTTATCTCCCAGGCAGCCCTCGAGGCCCCCGTGGTCAGAGATCAAGTCTCCCTCCAGGGCTGGAGCTCACGATCATGTAATAAATGCTAGTCAGGTGTTAACCAGTTACCTAACGAGTTACCATGTGACACTTGGAAAGCGTTAATTCTAGGCTCGTGGGCAAACTCAGGTCCACCATTGTAGCTATTACAGTTATTAGTGATTATTAACTATTAGCACTATCATATCTTTCTGACTAAATTGTGGTATCCAGGATCACATTCCCACTGGTGTTAGTAATGAAACCAAAACCAAACCCACCACCATCAAGTCCATTCTGACTCATAGTGACCCTATAGGACAGAGGAGAACTGCCCCATAGGGTTTCCAAGGCTGTCAAATCTTTATGGAAGCCGACTTTCTCCTGCAGTGTGGCTGGTGGGTCCAGACTTCAGAGCTCCCTGGTATTGGTAATACTGAAAGGTTAATAAACTTAGTAAGGTGCTCTGGTGGCACAGTGGTTCAGCACTCGGCTGCTAATCAGCGGTTGGCAGTTTGAACTCTCTAGCTGCTCTATGAGAGAAAGACCCAGTGACCTGCTCCCATAGGGTTTGTTGTTGTTGTTAGGTACGTCGAGTCGGCGCCGACTCAGCGACCCTGTGTACAACAGAATGAAACACTGCCTGGTCCATATCAGACAGTGCTTCTCTGCTATTCACAAGGCTTTCACTGGCCAGTTCTTTGAGAAGTAGATGGCCCCTTCCTTCTTCCCAGTCTGTCTTAGTCTGGAAACTCCACTAACACTGTCCACCATGGATGACCCTGCTGGTATTTGAAATACCGGTGACATCAGCTTCATAGCAACACACAAGCCACCACAGTAGGACGAACTGAAAGACGAGTGGAGACAACAGCCTAGAAAACCCTATGGGGCAGTTCTGTGCTGTCACATAGGGTCGTCATGAGTTGAAGGTGCGCTTGACAACACACAACAACAGCACGAAGCATGAGCATTCTCGGTAGTTACAGTTACCAGGCCCTGAGCCCACCTTTAACACCTCCTGGCCCCCCGCTGAGCGTTTGGCAGGTACTGAGATGGCTGCTGTTATCCGTATAATGAGACTGAGTGATCTCAGTAATGAGAATTGTAGGGATGGTCTGCCTGGGGGGGGGGGGCCCACAGCTTGTAAGTGGTTCAACAGAACTTGAACCTGAGATTTTCGAACTCCAGACTTCATGCTCAGTGGTATGCATGGCTGCTTAAAGTAAACAGAGCTCTTCATAATTTTGCATTTTCAGAGACAGGACCCATTTTTAGCTGCCATGTGAGCCCATCCACCTTGTAACAGAGCTGACTGTGACCCAGGGAACTGCATGCTCCCTGAGGCATGCGGCAGTGAGTTGGGGCTGTGTGTCTGAACAAGAACTTATCAGTTGAGACATCATAGCGATGATTAACAACACATCCTTAATGAAGGAGAAGTCCAGCACCCTGAGGCTGTAGGCATTTGACCAATGGGAAGCGTGTTCTGTCTTCAGTGGGCAGGCGTGTCTTTGTCTGTTGACCATTGGGAGGATGGTGCCATGTTAGGAGGTGTATCGGGTCACTATGAGTTAGAATCATTCTGAGCGCATACGGTAACAACCACCAC